AAATGAATTCATTTTGAATCTTCAAAATATCGATATAACCAAAAAAATGAATTTCAGTGAAAAATTTAGTTAAAAGATTTATGCTGATCTTGTAGAATGAATTGACTCTAACTACATTAACGAAGCTATAATTACTTGTAATTACTTGACATCACTTTCTTGCCATACTTGAGCACACTATTTGATAATATAAAAAAGATTTAATAAAAATTACTGATACAAAATTAACAAGAGCAAGAAAGCCTGAAATATCTGTCGCCGGAAAGATTCAGCTTCAATGTCAGTGAAATCAAGAAAAGTTTAAACAGTAAAATAATTAGAGCTTGACAACTAGTAAGCAACTTGTAGTCTAAAAAAGATTTAGGCTATCTGTAGAAGGAGGAAGACGATAATTACATCATTCAATAAAATTTTTTTGCTCTATTAGAGACTTTAAAACCCCAGAAAATTCATTTCATATTATGTCAATTCAGTGACGTCTGTTTTCCTATTTTTATATCGGACAAAACTTTTTAAAACGAAACTCTGTCCCTCTTATCAACATATTTTTGCAATCCACTTTAAATTCAACGTATCAGGGTAAGAGACATGCATCAGAGATTGCTTCCACAATGAATTTCTAAATCCTTGCATAGCATAGTAGGGTAATTCTACCATCACGATAATGGAACGCTAATTAAACTTTAAGATTGCACCATTCGTCAGCTTGGATGGTTCTGCAGTTAATATGATAAGACTATAGCACTCAACACATTGCTTTTATTAGCTTTTTTAAGTAATTAATAATTAAGGATGGGGAATGTTACTGATACCAATTCATTTAACACCTATGAAAGTTAATTGTGTGTAATAAATAGAAGAGAAATAAGAGCACTGCATTCTTTCAACTCTTTTCATTGATATACTGATAATTTTCACCTGCCACAGACAGGAAGTAATGACATAGTGATGACAAATTGCAGTTTTATTGAATATCCGATTATCTTCTCGCCTTCATTAACCTTAGAGTCCTTCCAGGAAAACTAAGTTCATCGCCAACTGCGCATCTGCTCAATTTACATTACATATATTTTTGCAAAAATTTTAGCCAATTTAGAAAAAAGCTATTAACAGTATTAAAAGCTTCTATTTAGCATTTTTGGTTATTTTGATGCTTCTGGTTAGATGAATAGTACGAAAAGTAAAATACATTATTGAAATAATCGCAGAAAAAGCATGCATAAGTAAGGCTAACGTAAGCTACGCGTTCTATGCGAAAATTACAATAATTACGGTTGCAAAAAATTATTTTCATAAAATACATATTGATCGTGCTGAAGATTGGCATGTAAATATAACAGAAATGAGAAATCAGTGAAGATATGAAGGACAGAATTCACAAAGTTATTGATCACATAAGAATTTACAACTTTTGTGATAATTTTGTATGGTAAGTTAGTCAGTCTCATTCAACTTTCTAATATTCAAAATTACCTCACAAATGCATATAAAATGTTTCAGTTAGAAAATACTATTTGTTATGGAAGTTATTTTATTATTTGGTGTTGGAGATAAATTGAGACCTAGAATATAGTTGGAATAAAGTTCATGGAGGATAAATTCTTACGACATTAATAGATATATTAAACAAAGCATATCAAATCATTTGACTGCGAATATTTGAGATAAAAAGATTTCAATAACATTGATTTCATGAATACGATGATACCTGATTATATAAATATTTCATAATGTAAAGTTATTTCAGGTTACCGACATCTTACAATTCACGTTGATTACAGCAAGCTTTACGAAAGTCGCACTATTTTTGCGAACAACTAAACTTACTTATGACAGATAGTTTACAAATGTAGTGATGGCAATCATTTACAAATATTACTATTCAAAACATAAAGGAAGATATTTTTGCATTTTTTACTAAATATGCTAATTCGGTAATTCAATCAATGCTCTGAAATGTTTAACTCTTTCAAAACAATTTTACAAATTTAACATGTTATTTAAATTACGAAGTTTTAAATTCACAAGCAGTACAAGGCTTTTTTGCAGAAATCAGATGACAAAAATTTCAAGAGCTATTATATATAGCTATAATATATATACATATTCTTATAATAATCATTTATATTATTAATAAAAAATGGCTCCATCACTATTCTTTATTGGTCCTTAGTAACGTGCAATAAATAAAAGGTGAAAAAGGATTAATCATAAAATAACCTTTATCCTTTACGGCTGTCAGTTTATAAAATTGCACAAATTATTTCGCATGCATTATTAAATTAAAGGGCGTAAACGAAATCATTCAGTATCGTACGAACTTCGTTTCTATTTATGCAAATTTTACATCACCAACTGCTTTATTCTAACATTTAAATTTGCCACTCCTTTTCAAAGTTTGTTAATAATTGTTTTAAAAAATGGTACATTTATGCAAACAGATTTATTACGCTTGGAGCAAAATAATTGGATTCAAACTTCTGACAATTTCAAACAAATTCACTTATAGTAGTAAATAAATTGATGAAGTCGTGCAGATTACCGAAATATTTCGACATTGGCTAAATTCATGGTTTTCAAGTAACAGCGTATTTAAAATTGCACCAAGTTGAAATTGCAATAAGTGCTACAACAATTCCTAATTAGCTTAAATGAATCGTAAGACACTCACTATGACAATTGCAGTCATTTGCAACCACTATTTTCAATCATTATGTTATGCAAAGATCAAATATTCCACCTAAACATTGGCAGTCGTATCAGTTTGGCATGAATCACCTTTAATTTAAATGCAGTATATTGATTTATCTGATATCATGATAATAGCTAGTGCGTTAATAGAATAATAAAGCGCCTATTGGAGAGTTAGTACTACTAATTGCGCAACACATTACATGTAGAATCATAATAAAGCTGAGGTCTGTTCGGTGCAATGATTGTTAAGATCCGAATCTCTTAGAGTTTTCGATGGTATTTAATATGGTGTAAATTTTTTGCCTGGTAGCACTACCAGTCACCACCGATCTCCTTCGGCACTTAACAAGCCATACTGGAAATTTCAGATTTTTTACACAGCATTTGCAATTTCAGATTTTATATATGCAATCGCCATATCAACTGGTTGAAATTAATTTATAATTGACAAAGTGACCTTCAAAAAGAGCGATGCAAGCTAGAAAAAAAAAGTGAACAAAATGGTAATTTGTTCTTGCTACTGTATTTTAATGTATTATTGTATTTTACTACTGTATTACTGTAATTTTCCTACTATCATCTTTAAATTGCAACAAAGCAAATACGACGGATATCTAAGAGATGAATGCAGTACGGTAAAAAACATGACGCTTGTATTTCTCCACCGTCACGTCTGCACGGTATTGCTGACGATCGCACTCGGCATATTTACTGTGTTTAATTTTTAATTTTTGATTTTTCGATCGTTTTCCTCTTTTGCCTGAAATGTCTATTTGGAATTTACGATAGAAAGTAAATTGTATAGAGAAGTCAGAAGAATTTCATCAAATGATTTTTGCTGCCACTTAATTTTTCCAGGATTTAAAAAATAATGAAATTCAAACTTCGAATTTGCCAAACTATATTTTAATGATTTGACATTTTTAGATAGTAAAAGAAACAAGTTAAAGTTTAAAATTAGTCCTAATTTAATCAATATTTAAAATTATTTGTAACTTCTTTTATAATTCAAAAAGAAAAGAAAAAACTGCAATCTTTCATAATTGTTGCAGACGTTTCTTGCATAATACTTTATTTATATTACATTCAACACAGTTATTTGGTGAAAAGAATAGAGGTATTATTGAAAATATTACTCATCGAATTTAAACTTTTACTTCTTTACAAAATTCATTTTTACGATTCAATTTCATTTTACCAATCAAAAGGAAAATAACCGACGCTTTGGAATGGTTTCAAATATGGAAGATATGTGAATCAATATGAAAATATTTAAATAATTAGCATGCAATTTCTTGTTTGTAACTCATATTTCAAATAGAATGTAGCAAATTGGAAAACTTCAACTGCTTCAGAAGGAATGAAAGTTTCAGGCAGGGAACGAGAAAGAATTTCCAGAAACAATAACAACTGAAAGCTTCGGAAATTTTTTGCTAAATATTAATTTTGTGAGGAAAGATAGAAAGGATTTTCTTGTATGTTTCCAAAATTTCAAAGGATTTTTTAACATATGTCATACACAAACAACGTTGATTATCCCGATTTTATCATTAACACTATTATTATATCCTTCGTTTTATCATATGAATTAAGATTTAGAAAAGTTTAAGACAATTTCTTTGTCTTTTGTTGAAAATGTATTATTTATTTGTGATTCCTAAAAATAATTTACCACTCTTTTAGCCATTTTGAAGCTAAAATTAATTTTTTATTTTATTAATTTCTTAAGCAAACCACCAAAACAATGCTATCATCGTTATTTTTTATTGACTTTATTTTCACTTTTTGTTTTATTTTAATATCTATATAAAAATAAATAAAGACAGAAGAATGAGTCAAAAACTGAGTTTTGATAATGATTCAAACTGAATGAGTCAAACTGATTTCATTAGCCATGTTACTAATGAATCAAAAACTTGAAAACATCAGCTTAATTTTAAGCTCCCAATATTTGTGAAGAGAGCGGTATCTACTTTAAGATTCTTATTCAGCTCAAAATTTTAATGGTGCAAAATTTTACTCCTGCAATTTAAGATTGGAAATGTTATAGTGCGACAAATTACTCTAAGCAACTTCGATGAATACAATCAAAAGAAGAATTTGTTCTAGCAATCAATTTATGTGTATTAAATATTAATGCATTCACCATATTGACTTCAATATATTCTCTTGCAATTCAAAAACAAAACATTTGAAGCATTGACATTTCTACCATTGAAACTCTCAGCTAATTAAAACCCATTTTACATAATAACTTCAGTGATGTGAATTAGAATGTTTCAGAAAAATTATCGGTGAACAAAACAATGAATCGTTCTTACTGTATTATTGTTTTATTCCTAATATTACCACCATTAAATTGTCACAATGGGAATATGACAGATATTTTCGACATAAGAGACGACTATAATATGTCAAAAAAATACGTCGCAACTATATTGTTTTCTCTAATGCTGCTGTATGGTATTGTTGGCAATATACTATTGACGACAGTATTCTGTAGTCGCAATAGTATGTACAGTCGTCCATTCATTTTTATCGCAATCCAAATTATTATTTGCAGCTTTTTGAATTTTGTTACACAAATAATCATTGTCATACCTGAAATAGTAAAGAAGAAAATTTCTTATTGTAAGTTCTTTACTTCTCTTTCATATTATCCATTGATTATCATTTGTTGAAGAGATACACGTGATAAATTTAAAATCGTAGATAATAATCTGATTGCTTGCACGATTAATTAGTGAGATAGAAATGAATTAATTCGGAAGCATATGTGTAGGCAACTATATATATACTACAACAATTTTGCCTTGATTAACTAATTGATTAACATTTTAGCATATAAGCCAACATTAATCCAGAGAATATTTGCTTCGATAGATACAGCTTCATTTTTTGGTATATTGCATTTTACATTTCTATTGACGGTTAATCGCTTTGTGGTCATATGTTCACCAAAATACAATGGTATTTTCGAATCAATAAAGCTCTATTTTCTTCTCATCTGCGTGTGGTTTTCAGTTCTCGGTATGATCGATCTATCGAGTATTTCACGTATTTCTTTAAAGCATCAACAATTGCAAAAGAATCTGCAAAAGTTCTGCAAATGACACATTGAGATATCATTTGACAAATAAGCGCATAAGGAAAATTTAAATAAAATTATCAAAACATGATCATTTTGATCTTCTATTCACCATAACCTCATCGGTTAAGCGATGCTCAGCCTTGTACAATGTACGGCTAATTAAAGCTTACCGTATGGATTTCAGTTATTTTAATATACTATCAAAAACTCTTTAAAATTTTAAAACAACTTTTCAGGTTTTTCGGTCACAGAATTTAATTACTGTATTAAATCTTTCAATGTTCCAATTTTGCAATGGTCCTTGAATTGTACCAATAACATATCAGAAAATGGTGAAGTGTTTAAGAAGTTAGTTATTTTTGAATTGGAATTTTTCTTTTCTAAGAAGGACATTATCTGAAGTCTATTACTTATCCTATAGAAATTAGGAATTTGAAATTAATTTCGCTGATTCGAATTATACTTTTCAATTTCTTTTTTGTAAAACAATTAATATTCATCTGTCAGCATCTTCACTTATTGTTATTCGATTATTTTTGTTCAGGATACGTTATGTATGGACGCTTGCATTACCCGTTGCGATGTTTGCGATATACATTGCAATATTCCGCAACATTCGCCAGAAACGGAAAAATAGTTTGGTATTGTGCAAAGCAAGCGGTAACTTTTGCATTAGTTTTTTATACGATCAAAAAAAAATAATTGCAACAATTTTTAAATCATTTAAAATTCGGAAATCATTAGCAATTTCTTCCATTTTCTTCTTTCACTTAATCTGCAAGTTGATGATGTGAAGGGGTGGATGTAACAAGCATTGTTAAATATTAGTGAACGATGGTAATCTTCAAATACGTAATTAAAGTCAGCCGTTCAAGAATATTTGCAGGATATAAGACAAAGATAGCTGGTAAATATGAGCGATTGATGTTAATTCAATCAGCAATCGTTTGCGGAGCATTTGAAATTGAAATTATTTGTTTCTATTTCCTTTTTAAATTTGCAGTGAAATTAGCAGGCAAAAAAGTTGAGATCCCCGTCAACATTTTCATCAATTGTTATGTGATTTTCAACGGTGCATTGCTACCCACCGTCAATTTATTTTTTGTCAAAAAATTTCGTAGCAGCGTGAAACGAACAGTTGTAGAATTGTCATCCAAAATTACGAGCAAAAAGCGGCTATCTACAAATATAATAGCTATGTAGCTAGCGTACCAGCTACTTATTAGCTACATGGAACGAATTCAGAATATTTGTCATGTACGCTAATATAATAGAGATAGTTTGATTTATGTTCGACTTCTGGGCAGTATGCATATTGCCCACTACGTATTTCATTTTTGTCAAATGATTCCACGATGACTACGAAATTGTGAATTTTCTATTCGAAATTAAAAGCAATATAATACCAATTATTACGAAAACTATGGCACAAACTAAAATTTATCCGATTCTCCATCTCCAACAATACAGTTATGTTTCTTTCCAGAATTTAGTATTCTCCAAATCATTCAATCATGGGCCCAGTTCTGAAAATTACGAGAATTCCCGCAATAGATTGTCATCACTTTCAGTTTTGCTTTTTCCTCTCTCAATTCAGTATCAATATTGGGATTGAGATGACATTGGGATTGTGATGACATTGACTGCAATTATTTCTATGATTGTTATTTCACAATTTTGAAGGAATCAATATTCCGCTTTCATTAATTATAGCCTTCTAATCAAA